GCATTTTTAGACATGCAAACCACTTGGAGGGAGGGGATTCGTGGTTGCTGGGACCCTCTCGTCTCTTGCTCCTGTTTGCCAAAGGTAGAGTGCCACTGGAGCTGGATGCTCTTCTTCACTGTTGGTTCAACACCCCCTTCCCCCCGTTTGAAAGGAAGGAACCTTTCCCAGCCTCCACTTCCCAGGCCCAATTCAACCGGTAATTGTAGGTTATTCTTCCCTGGGCTACGTATATATTTATATATTTGCAGGAAAAAAAGTAGCGTAGCCTTTATTGTATCGTATAGATTAATAAATATATAATTAAGATAGTAAAATTATCAGGGCTCCTGCCCATTAGGGGCAGCCTAATGGTCCTTAGCAAATAAAAACCAACAACAGCACAAAGATTGTGTATCCCCGGGGACCATCAAGACAATGCTTGCATAACCAGCAAACTCCATACCAGGGGATGTGCAAACGTGGCTGCTTTAAGGCTCGTGGACTTCAACTCCCAGAATCCCCAAGCCAAGTTTTGTGGGGAATTCTGGGAGTTGAAGTCCAGGAGTCTTAAAAGTTAGCGTGGTTGGGCTTTCTTGCTCAACATCCATCAGCTAACTTGGCTACCAATGTCGGCACTCAAATAGCCACCGGGCCCACCTCCCCACAAGGCTGCCCTCTTCCGCGATTCCCATCATCCCCAGATCTGCCAGGTGCTGTGCCTCGGCGTTAGGACCCAGCCTCCCTCTGCCAACCTTCTGCAAGCAGAAAAACCAGTTTGGGATGTGTCTCGCCCGGCTTCCACTCCCCTGTCCACACCTCCAGGGCTTCAGTGCGAGTTTGCGGTGTCCCATCACAAGCAGGGGAGATTGGGAGTGCACCTGGCCGGGCTAATCTCCCCTCCCTCCAATGGGTTCCTTCGTGGGAGATGGCAAGAGGACCCTTCCCCAAGAAAGGTGAGTCCTTACCAAAGGTGGAGGGTGGAGGGCTCTGGAGGAGGTCCCATTCTCAAACCAACGTTGTGATTCCTCTCTGAGCTGGCGCCTGGCCGCGAGGGGACCCCCGACCCTTGGGATGTTGGTGGGAATTGTAGTTCGGTGGTAACCAGGTTCTGCCTATCTTCTGATTGGCAACACTGAGATTCAGAAACTTGAGTTTTGAGCTGGAGGAAGTTGGCTTCCCCTTCTGCAGGTGGGAGCTACAATCGCAACCTTTCTCAACCAAGTTCATTAACTTAACGACTGGGCGTCATAGCTGCCTACGGGCAAAATTATCCCCGGTTTTAATTTCAACCCTTCGGGCCTTCTGGCCATCCTGTTTACCCCTGGGTTCTCCTTGAGTCACGGACAACACCGGAGGCCTCTCTGGACTTCCTCCTTCAAAAGGACTAGCATCATGTGAATGCAACCTTAAGAGATCCGGATTTTGTGTCTACTGCAGTGGTCCAATTCACTTCCCCTCGTTATTTTTTTCCCTCCCCTTTTCCAGCTGGCCAAAGCCCCAATTTCCAGCTGTTCAATGCCCCCAGGTCTGCAAAAGAAGGCCTTTTGAAGGTCAACTGCAGCTGAAGCTGGAGGTTCTACACATTTTGAGAAAAGAGAAGAAAAACCCACAGTTCTCTCTCTCCATTTCTTTCACTTCCTTCAAACCTGCCCCAAGTTAGGTTATTTCTCTCCCTTCAAGTGGATTTTCCCTCTGGATTAAGGGGAGGGGGGGCGTTTTCTTCTCCGCAACGCCCTTCGGACAGACGGTGGATTACATCCGCGCTTCCTCCCTCGCACACGAATTACAGGTTTCAGGGCACCCGGCGACACATATTTGATCTGCCCTGGCAGGATTTCCCCCACTCAAAGTTTAATCACCCTTTTTTCGGGTGCCTGGAATAACCAGCCGCTCCTAAGCAAAGAATAGAACCTCCAGGTTTAGGAGCAGTCTACCTGTGTGCCAGTGGACTGGACTGGCTGGGAGAGATGGCCGCAGATGCCAGGGTCCTGCTTGGGGAATTTCTCAGGAAGGCAAATGTCTGGATCGCAGGTAGGCGCCAAACCAGGAGTTTTGCAAAGTTGGGTCCCTTTAAGAGGCGCACGGGACTTCAACTCCCAGAATTCCCCAGCCAAGAATC